TAAAAGCAAGACTCTACATTATCACCATTTGGAAAGAAAATATACTACGGCCGGAAGGTTTACAATTACTCGGCAGAGCACCATTTCATCAATTACCCATCTCAAACTCAAAAACACATGTTAGACAACACGTGCATTCGTAAATAGTCATCGTCGCAGTTCCTGTTAAGCGAGATTACTAACATCGCATCCCGCGTCAACGCCTTCCTAAAACCGAACCTCGTAATCGGAAAAAAACGCACAGAATTCAAATCGGGACGAAGCAAAGCCATATTTAGGGCCCGATAAGCGAATGCGCAACGTTCCCGTATTTAAAGCGAGATTAACTTCGACCGACGTGGAGGTACGTCTCTTTCGCTCCTCAGTCGCATCCCGTCGCATAAAACAGAATAAACGGGTTAATCCGCCGCGTAATCCTAACATATGCATTCGTCGTTACATTTCGACGTAGATTTACAATTATTTACAAGGAATACTTGTCGCCCGCCACTTGTGCCTGCTCACGCTAATCCGCGGATCAACGCGCCGCTTGTTTATGCCGCGCTGTCGGCCATTTAATTGTCTGTGGTCGGGGAAGAGGCGCGGGAGTGTCGCGTCGGCGCGTTATGCGCGCTGATTTATACGGAGGCGCGGCCGGCGCAGCTTTTCACAATATTTCCAGAGCGCAAGATGTTTTGTGTCGAATGAGAGATGGGTGGTGTTACGCGGATTATGCCGGGCTCGAGTTACACGCGGGCATGTTTTTGTTGGCAACGCCGCGGCCGTCGCGGCGGACGCGATGCGGTGACAACCCGACTTATTTACGAATGACACACCGTCGGTCGTCGCTGGGGCTTGTGACAGATATTTAGATAATTGCACGGTTATATCCTCGCCGTTTCGTGATAATTTATTAGTCTCATCACGTTTATGGTAACATTCAGAATACGTATACTCCAGTATTTTTTGTTTAATTTCACAAATGTTTAACTGATTAACAGACCAAGAAAAGAGTTCGAGTTAATTTGATTAAAAAATACGTGTACACGTGATTTAAAGAGTTCGGTTTTTGTCATGACATTTTGTCAGGGATTTCATACTATATGGCGGCAATAAAATTATTTAAATTTAATAACATTATCTCGTTATAAAGATTATAGATACGTCAAGCAGAAAAAAAACAAGGGTAATTAACATTATAATCAAGTGTTATTCGGTATTTTTTTTTTACAAAATTATAACGAAAAGTGACCCTTACTCCGTTGTGATAAGATTTAACTTCTCCTTTTGCTAGTCATAAATCACTTTTAATTTTTTAGTATAATAATGATTATCGAAGAAGAGATGACCCAATGGAATGTTGACTTTTGTTTGCATGTTGCAGATTCGAACCGACACAAATAATAAGCACTTATAATTTTCCGTTCGATATGTTCCCAAAAACCAAAATTCGTTTATTATCAATATATTGGATTACAATACGCTTGGGAATTAATAATTTCACTTCACGTGCTACCTCAAAATCAAGTCAAAAAGTCAGAAAGTGTCGAAATTCTTCATTCAATATAGGTTTATTTTAAGCTCTTATTTAACGTCAAACTACAACCGATTCACTTTAACGTCAAACTACAACCGATTCACTAATCTCTACGGTTTTGTTATTTTTTATCATATTAGTTTACAAAATTATTTAAGACTACAATCAGCAGTAGCTAGGGGCAAGTGCAGAGCAAGAGTCATTCCCACAAATCCTCGTTTAGACTTATTGTAATAAAAAGTAATAGTCTATTACATTAACGCCTTCGAGTTGTGTCATTATTTAAAATTTCTTCAATTATTTTTTTTATTGTTATTAAAGGTACAAGCAATAGTTTGATTTTTTTTTTTTTTGACAATCTTTATTTAAAATAAATCCATTCATATTGTATTTTTTTTTTTCATATCAATTTATCTTGCTATAGTATAATTTACATTTTAGTAGGAGAATTAGTGTTTTCCTATTCAATTATTCATAAATAACACAAGTCAGTATATTGATTTGACTGCAAACTTGTTCAAAGTCAATATCAAATTTGATTAAAATCATTACCATACATAATATAATTCTATCATTTATTCAGATAGAAATGTCAACGTTTCCATTTTTATTTGGAAGAAATGAAAAAGCTTGATTAGATAGAGCTACACAACGCCGTTAGCAAAGGAAAGTATTACAATTTCGAAATGTGTGTTATTTTAACTTACAAAAAATATGCCCAAGTCAATATTGAACCCATCATGAGACGCAACAACAGTTGGCGAGTTGACCACATAAAAACCGGCCAAGTGCGAGTCGGACTCGCCACGTAAGGTTCCGTATCATTATTCTATAAAAACGGTAAAAATATCTTGTCTCTTGTTGGGAGCCCAAAAATATTTTTTCATTCTTCTTTTTAGCATTTGTTCTAAGGGCGGCAACATAAATACATCATCTGTGAAAATTTCAACCGTCTAACTATGACGGCTCAAGAAATACAGCCCGGAGACAGACAGACAGACAGCCGAGTCTTAGTAATAGAAAGCAAAACTTGTTCAATATTCAAGAATGTTATGTGTTGTTTAGACCATGCAAGTCATTTATTGCTTCACAATTTAAATGAATAATCAATGTACTATTGTATACAAATACAACAAGCAAGAAACTTGCATTGAAACTTGAATATGGCATTATGAAAATATGTGACGCATCTTGGAGTGGTTCCGCGCCATGGAAAGCTGTAGTAGATCAATATGCTATGATTATTTCTACCATTAGAAAAACTTTGTTGGTAGTACAGAACCGTAAAAATAAGTCCCTGACACACTGCGTGCTTTTAAATTTCCAAACTATGAGCATCAAAATAACATAAATTTTATTACAATCCAAAACGAAAAAAAAAACAATTTTCCTTTAAAATTGTAATAAAATTTATTAAATTCGAATAAAACTGTTGGTAACTCGTAACATCGTAAATATCGCTGTTAAACAGAAGATTCTTATCTGTTTTGTTAATTAAATTTTATGTTTATGCCCATTTTATGGGGCATGGTTTTATTTTAAAAAAAAACATGCCGATTTTATACGTTTCCAGCGATAACTAAAGGGTATCGCAATAACTTAGACACGGAGCAGTTATATTAAGAGTTTTGAGGACCGTGACCTTGTTATTGGCTATTTGGATACTATTTTCTGCATACAGTACTGTGTTTTGTTGTCCAAGAAATGTTCTGAAGCTATATTATTTTGCGTTCTTCTGAAGCTATATCGTTTTGCGATATTTAGATACTGATTGAAACTAAACTACGCTACTTATGGTAAGCGGTATTATCTTAGTTATAAAGTATTGTAGCTCTCGCCATCAACATGGTACATTCATTGTAACAGAACGGAACTATGTTCTCATTAGTTCTCATTTCTTAGTAATTTTTTTCATAATGTTAATTCTTATTATCAAAGTCAAGTGGACCATTTTTTTTTAATAACATGTCGTTATTGCAATTCAATATAAATGAATAATAGATATAATAGTTTTATGGTTTTCTCCTTTGATTATATAAATCTAATTTTTAATTATAAAATTTTATCCTTTGATATTATAAATCGAAATAAATATATAATCTGTTTGTCATAAAAAGCTAAAATAAAAAAAAAATATTGATTTAAAGTATTAGTATTATATGGCAAATGTTGGCGTTAATTGATATTCAAATTATCATAAAATCGTTGACTATGTAGTTAGAGAATCTTAGACTTAGCGGCCGAAAGACTCTAGTTTTTAGTTCTAAATTTTAGTTTTTAGTTCAAATTATCTTTGCCAGCACCAATAGCCTCATTTGTGTCGGTTTACGATGATACTCGCGCCATCTATCGCGATCAGAATGTAATAAGTAACAAAAACATTTTTTATTTATTGGAAATAAGTAATCATTTAAACTTTTTGAGACAAGGCAAATATAATATAATATATTACAGTTTAAATCGGCTAATGAATCCCTGAATAATATACACAGTCAGGGATTTCTTCTATATAATGTACGTATATTTCAAAAATGCTTACCTTTGGACTTGTCATAATCAAAAATTAAAATTAGCTTGGTCTGACAGTAAAGAACGCATTTTTTTATCGTAAAATTTACATAATTTTAAAGCAGAAACATTCGAAGTATCAGCATCGATTCGACCCAGTTTTACAGTTATATGGGTAACTAGCGACCCATCTCGGTTTCGCACGGGTGCAATGTATTATACATATAAATTATAAACCTTCCTCCTGAATCACTCTATCTGGTAAAAAAGCGCATTAGGATCCGCTGCGTAGCTTTAAAGATCAAGCATACATAGGGACAGACAGACAGTGCGACGACTTTGTTTTACACTACCTATGTAGTGATTCTGGGATATGTTATTATGGAATATATAAGTTGTCCCTTCTGTAACATCTAGTTTGTAGGCAAACCATAACAAAAATAGATAAAAAAATAGATCATATAAGAATTTTATGTAACGTACATGCTCATTTTAATATTTGATATATGCAAATACTAGTAATAATAATAAAATCAGTAAGATGTGTAAGTTAATACTTTTGTGTATAAGTAATACTTTGTATATAGGTTATAAAATTCTCGAAAATAATACACGAACGGCTAGTAAGAAAGTTACAGTCGCCAAAATAAATTATACCTCATAGTTTGAGTCTCAGTGATCAGCATTTTCGATTCGCGAATGGGTAAATATGAACACATTTTGTTTTTTAAGCAAACTGCTCGAATCATCATTTATTGCGTCCAATATAACTTAAATTTAGCCTCTTAACGTTTAATTATATTCATTAAATAAATTCTTACTGCAACAAATAAATAGAGTCACCGTCATTATTATACACACTCGATTGTTCATATCTATCACAGTCTTAACTCTTCGAAGCGCACCAGGCCGGCCTTCGGTGAGGTATCGCGGGAATACCTTCGGAAGCCGCGTTCCACTTACGGCCCGTCTATCAACTGTGCTTCAGTAGATGCGTCTCCTGGTCCGGATGGGTCGGAGGGCTGATCGGGGGCGCCAGGCCGTGGATCCGCCGGTACAGCTGGTGGTAAGGGCTCGGCGGAGGCGGTGGCAGCCTCAGCAGCGGGCTGGGCAGCGCGTACCGGCCGTACACCGACAACAGCGGCGGGTACAGCCCCACCAACGACGCGTAAGGGTTGCCGAACATGGGATGCAGTATCGCGCCCCGCTTGAAGGCCGCCAGCCGGGACCTGGATGCGGCCGTGGAGCGCCTCCTCAGCTTTCCGGTGGTGCCGCCGATGAACACGTCATCCGAGGACGGGTCCAACATCCAGTAGTTGCCCTTGCCGGGGTCGTCGTAGTGGCGCGGCACTTTCACGAAGCACTTGTTCAGGCTGAGGTTGTGCCGTATCGAGTTCTGCCAGCCCTGCTTGTTCTCCTTGTAGTAGGGGAAGTTCTTCATGATGTACTCGTAGATGCCGTTGAGCGTGAGCCTCTTCTCGGGGCTGCTACGGATGGCCATCATGATGAGGGCGTTGTAGCTGTAGGCGGGCTTCTCGCTCTTGGCGCGCTCTTCTGCCGGCTTGGAGGAGCCCGGCGGCGGGCTCTCAGTGCCCGTGACGTCGAGCTCCGCGTCCGAGGGGGACGGGGAGCGGGAGGAGGCCTCCGGGAGGAGGTCGCGGATGGCGAAGCTGTGCGGCGGCGTCATGGTGCGGCATCGCGAGCCGCTCGCTGCGGACTAAGCGCCGGCCGATACTGGCGCGGAGGCTCCGCCTCGCCGGCGCCGCCCAGCTGACAGACCCCACCTCGCTGCGCCGGTCTTCCCATCCCGCGCAAAACCGACCCGTGGACTCCGCCGCATCGCAATTTGGAACTCTATGTTGTCGCCTCAAAGACCATTTTGCGTTAGCCCGCCTCTGTAGCCACCGGCTCTTTAGGCTACGTTAGGGTAGAGCGAGGGTTGATAGAAATTAACCCGATCCGTCGCGGCCCGGCGTGTGGTTTTTTCGCGTTATTCTCCACGCTTTGTTTGTGGATTAATTTAGTGTTACCGGTACAGTTATAATTGACGCCCTAATGGTCGTGAAGTGGGACGTCAAATTTGTTTTTTAAACATTCCTTTCGGCAGATGCGTGTTGCAACGATAAATCTAACACAATATTAGACTAATTCGTTGCACCCTAATTTAAATAATCATTCGTGGTTTTATTGTAGCAAAAAGCCTCTTTATTACCGTCAAACTTTTTTTTCATAACTGTGAATAATAGAATCAGTAACATTAAATTGACTCGGAACCTTACTTAGATATCTTACGAATATTTGATTAATTTTCTATGACTTTATAATGATTATTAACATTTTGCAATGCTGAGGCAATGTCTCAACAGTACTATAACTGCTGAGACATATAGGCAAATCAACGGGAAATGATGTTTAAGTGCATAGTACCGATTGCAAACAAATTAGGGAAAATTAACAAGCTAGAAGGCAGTGACGACATGCGTTTCATCTGGTGAGTGAGGTAATCGGAGCCCACTTTATTAAAATGTGACAACTCATCTGTAAACCCACGGGTTTTGCAAATACCCACGGCTGACGGTTAATTATTACTCAATATCTGATATGAAGTGCCACTTTCTCACATAAAAAAATGATGACTCAGGGGTAGCGAAATCTAAAGAGGTTACAATACATCAACCTTCATGCAATAATTAAACAATAATGATGCAATATACCAACAATCATTTCGTATATTGCCAAAACGACGATTCTTTATTCTTGTTTTACCGCAAAATTACAAGTGTTCCCATACACAAGTCATCGTTCTTTCACTATCTGATCAATATTTTCGCAATGCTTATATATCAGCAAGACTTCTAAATTCGCATCATTATTCCATTCCCTTCTGAGTTATCCATCGCGATTTATAACCCTAATTCATTACTTTTTAACGGTTTTATTTAGCTCGACGACCCGTACGGAATTTATTTATTTATTTGAGTCAAAATTAGAAATTGATGTTTAAGCACCTTCCCGTTGTCAGATTGATCTGAAATTTGGTACACACATTTAATTTAGATGACAATACAATATTGTAGTTTTCAGTGCACATAAAATAAAACCGTTTAACTTTAAAGTTTTTAACCGTTTTTCTTTTATAATATGCTAATAATCCTACCAATCGACGGTCGACGTTACATCACTATTAAAAAAACTTTAGTAGCCAGGTGTAAACAACGAAGATGAAAAACGTTGAGATTTTTGTCAGTGTAGCGATCAGCTTAGCGGTTAAAGCATCTCGACGCGAATCCGGAATACGTGGATTCGATTCCCGCAGCAGCCAAAAACTTTTCATTAATTTTTTCCACAAATCTTTATGTTTCATCATTCATTTTTATGTTTTTTACTTGTTATTAGAAACATTTGCTTGTTCCCTCGCGATGTTTTCCTTCACCGCTGAGCGTGTGATAAGTCAGAATTTAAAAAATGTATTTATAGATTAATGAACTCGGGTATATTGAATTAAAAACGAGCGCAACTACACTGGAGCTATCACGGCGTACTATTTACGTTACGATACGGAAAACGTTATACGACCAGTGTTACTATAGACTTGGTTACGAGCACGATAGACAAATAAGTACTTAGCAGGCGGTGGGGCACGGCTGTGTGCAAATATATGTGTGCGTCAGAATGTTTGTTTTCCCATGGGCGTGCCTGCCGCGTGGGCGGAGTCCCAAATTGTCTCGTGCCAAAGTGGGGCGCCGTCCGTAGATGTAGATACGATAGGTACACTCCATTCGGGACAAAGGACAAAAACAGGCGCAGATCAGTGAACATTTCTTTGCAGGCCTGCCTATGTGGCTAACCATCACGCGGGTCCGTCTTTCCGTCCGATCACAACGTAGTCTTCAAGGCAAGAGTGAATAGGTTTCTACTGAGCTAGCGCGCTTACCATCGACGGCTGCATCGCCACTTACCATCAGGTGGGGTGGCAGTCAAGTGCTGGCCAGTTTTATTAAGGTCTCGTAGATGTTTGTGTGGATTATGGTGACCACTTAATACCAGCTGAATCGCACTTCGCTTATTGATGTATATGAGGAAGATTAACTGCGGTAGGGCCACGCTACAGTACTCACTGTTGCACGAATGGACAGGTCCGTACGGGGAAGTACCACGACCTCACAGAAGACCGGCGTAAAGTAGAAGTGTTACTCTTCTGCGTTTCGTCTGTGAGTGAGGTAACCGGGGCTCTCTTTATTAAAAGGTGCAACCCTACGGGTGTTGCAAATGTCCGTAGGCGATTGTTATCAATTAACATCAGGTGAATCGCCAGCTGGCTTGCCACCTCCTCCCTTAGTAAACCATCGTCCCTGGTCACTCAAAACATCATACACCAGATAGTTTCATACCTAACAGCACAAATGTACGCTTCAATCGTTTTATATTTTTTTGCAAGTGATTTACTTGCAAATATTGGGGTTTATGAGGAGAAAACTTTTGATGATTTTAATTTTAAATTGCTGCAGTAGATTTTTATCGCTAAAATAAATTAAGAATCTCCAACGATTTTAAATGTTTGTAAAAATGTTGCGATATTGAAAATTATTAATTCAACAAAAATGTTGTAGATATCCTTGACTATAATTCTTATCCATTATGGTACGATTACCCACAAAGCGAAGTGTCCCTTTACTTTACTCGTATACCGATGCCAGTTATCTTAAAAGAATTTCAACAGTTTTCATTATTAACTTTAACAACATCCATCAAATTTAACACTTAGTTTACGAATTATATTATCCGAAGAGTATATTTTGTAAATAAATTAATTCTACACATTGGTGCTGATTAAAAACTATTGGTAGAAAAATATAGGTCTATTTTGGTGCCCGTTTACTTTTTTTTTTCTTGCACGAAGAAATAACATTAGGTATCGTCATTGAAATTAATATATGGCATACATGCAATAAGGCTATTAAAATATAAAAAAAGTAGCATCTTACAAAAATTGAAACTAAAAAAGTTCTCGCTTTGCCCTCCTCCGTGTTGCACATTAAATACAAAGTAAACTACAAAGGTGACATTTGAACAATCTCTAATTAATTTGTAATCTATAAGATTTACGCGTAGACCCAACTGCGTCCGTATAATAATCTTGGCTGTCTGATTAGAGTTAATCTAATTCAGAGTCCACTTGCCACTTCCCCAACTTGATTAAGACGTAACCCATTAACTACTAAAGCGCGTAGATATAATAAACAGATAGATCGTGAACGATTAGAAGTAATTCAAGATCATATTATTCTCATACACCTGGTCGTCTATAAAAATTAATGTCCGAATTATGCCGAATTAATTTTTATCGCATATTCATATCTTAACTTATACACGAACTCCCCTTCTTCTTAAGCCTCTCCCCAGTATTTAAACAACCGTAAGACGAATTTACATGAAACTGTTAGGCATAATGACACAGAGACGAGATACGGCATTTACACTGTTAAAAGATTATTGGATAGGCCGTATCTAAATGTCGGTATAGCGACGCGATAAATCTTCCCGCTTTATAGCCTAAAGCAAATATTATATCATTGGTTAATATAAATTATACGAACTTTAAATTAGCATAATTGAATAACTAAGAAACTTCAACCAATTGTAACAGCGATTTTATTTTATCTATGTAATAGATTATGTACGTAGTCGTTTTATATTTTCTTGAATAATTCAGATATATTCGTCAATATCCTTATCCATTTTGGACGGGCATTATAAAAAGTTACCAGATTAATCTCTTGATCGACTATTTCTTGTAATATAATAACTAAACACATTCGCTGACATAAATCGTAGATGTTAGCTGAGTGCAAACTAAAATATAAAATCTCGGCTGCATTAAAATTATTAATGTAATTGGTGCCGGCACTGGGGATTGAACTGAGATTGCCGGAGTATAAAAGTAAAGTAACAGCCTGTACATGTCCCACTGCTGGGCAAAGGCCTCCTCTATACAGAGGGTATCAGGGCATAGTCCACCACGCGGCCCCACTGCGGATTGGCGGACTTCACATATCTTGAAAAAATATTTTTTTTTTGTTATTATTTCGAAAATATGCAGGTTTCTTCACGATGTTTTCCTTCACCGCGGAGCACGTGATAAGTCAGCACTTAAAGTTAAAAACTTCATTTCCGAGTCCGGAGTAGGATTGAATTACTTTTAACGAGCGCCCGGACAATGAGTTATCCGCAATCTTTATGGACCCAGACCGTGATGCCCTGGAGGCCTTCTGCACACAGGAAACTCATTACTTCTGCACAGAGTGTTGTGTGTGCACGGATAGGGAGGGCCATCTGGGTAAGTACCACGACCTCACAGAAGACCGGCGTCAAGTGGAGGTCTTATACTTCTGCGTTTATTCTGGTGAGTGAGATAACCGGGCACCAAGTTTACACTATGTTAAAAGGTGGCAACGCATCTGCAACCGTATGGGTGTTGCAAATATCAATGGGCGGCGGTTATCACTTTACATCAGGTGAACCGCTTGCTCGCTTGACAACTTTTCACGTGGAAAAAAAAACAGAGGATATTGCAAAAGCGAGCTCGCATGAAAGCCGCGTTATTAACGACCATATACTATCAATCCCGTAACAAGTTAATTTCTTTATTAACGAAAAACAAAACCGACGTCAAATATCACGCAATCATTCTATAATTGATTTTCAGGTTCTCCCTACGTAGGTCCGGAGCGCTAGATCCAATTCCAATGAAATTAATATAGGACCACGTGGGAAGCATGAGCTTTCTAATAAATCATCAAAATTGGCTCACTCACTAGAAAGTTTTGAACTAACAAATAATTCTAATTAATCAATCGAATTGAGAACCTTCTTTCGTTTCCGAAGCCGGTTGTAAATCAACACTATCGCTTCGAGACGAACTTAGGACGAGAGGAGGGCGGCGGCTCTGTTCTAACCGACGGGTCAGCCGGCGCTAGTGCGTCCAACCGGCTGCCCTTATTTCGGACACATCCAGCCTCCAATTACTCGCGCGGCTCAAAAATGACGACGCAACACGGGCCTCGGTACGTGTGCCCGCGCACAGCGTCAGTAGTACGCGCGACCGCGCGCCGTGTTTCTCGCACGATTGAGCCAATCACGGCCCGGACAGCTGCTGTGGCCAAGCCGCAACGTTATCGCGGACAGTCCCGGGATTAAATCAGAATTGTTTGTTTGCGCAGATCATTTTTGGCGACTCGAATGGCGCAGTGGGTAGTGTACCGGCCTCCTGCGCCAGAGGGTGTAGGTTCGATCCCCTCTACTGGAAAAATATTGTGTCATGAACTTGGTGTTTTTCTAGTGTCTGAGTGTTTATATATGTATAATATGTATTTATTTACAAAAGAAAAGCATGTTTAAGTATGTTTATCAGTTTTCTAGTATACCATAGTACAAGTTTTGCTTAGTTTTGGACTAGAAAATGTTGTGTAAAAAATGTGTCCTAAAATATTTATTAATTCATATTTATTCTAATTCCGGTTCGAATACCGTTATGTACGTTAATATATATATTTTTATTTATATATGCGTATATTTTATTTTATTTTATGTAACAAACCCGGTTTCTTCACTCACTAGACGAAACGCAGAGGTGTAACATTTCCACTTAACGCTGGTCTTTTGTGAGGTTGTGATACTTACCCGGACGGGCCTGTCCATCCGTGCAACAGAGAAGACTGTTGCGTGGCCCTGCCACAGTTACAATACTAATCTATCAACATCGACAACGGCAACCTCTTAGGAGACTGGCATGAAGAGTAAGTGCTATAGTTTCGTGTTTCTTATGGTCATCCTCAAAGCCTTAGAGGTTGTAAATCTCCCAAGAAGACGGGAATCGAACTTTTCAATAATAAAAAAATGGTTTTGTGATGAAACAAAACTGACCAGCTGTTTATATTAATCAAATTTTGCATTGTTAATAAAATGTATGTTACTGTTTTAACTGTCTCGATTTGAGAGGCGAATTTCTTCATAACACAACTGCATTCTAACTATACCTTCGTTTAATTTTGTAGCATTAAACGTATGCAGTATTTAACATAATATGTTGTAATAAACAAATAAGGGTCCCCCTTATTACATAATTTGATTATAGCGAATATTAAAACCTTTTTATTTGTTTTTTACTTTATAAAAAATTCGCTTACTTTAGGATAACATTATCCTGTGTTGTAAGGGTTGTACTAACGTTTAGTCAGAAACAATTTTAGTTTTAATTCGGTTATAAAGCCTTTATAAATGTATTAAAAAGTACAGTATCCAAACAATTCAGAATGCACACACACCCTACAAGGAGTAGCGTTCGTGCCCGCAGCCATGTTTAGTTCGCGCAGACAAATATTTAACAACCGGCGCTGTGTTGTCCGTCCGTAGGTACTGCTTGTCTGAATATTATGTAATAATAAAATATGTCAGAAAAATAAATGCTGTTATCACATAGTGCGGACGCTGCCATTTTGTTTATTGGCGCTTTGTTGGACAGCTGTTTCCATTTGTAGCGGATAGTATAATTGTCATTCATTTGTATTCAATCTTTATGCGCTCTGTCGTCTCTTAGCCTCATAGAGTTTGTTAGAGTTTACTTTCGCTATCCATCAACTCTTAAAGATATCGATGAAAAACTAAATTTAGTCAGAGCTATCATGGGGATTCAAGCAACTTACCTTGATGCCACTTATGGTCACTACAAGTCAGTGTTACTACGCCAAGTACTTTAGTACTTCTCAACATAGCAACACTGACTTTGTGTGTTACCTCAATGTTAGCAACACTGACATTTATTTTTTGTATCAAAGATAAATAAAAAATATTTAATTATCACTCATTAAGTTGTAACTGTATGCTAAGGCAAATACTTGCATATATGTAATGGATTCAACTATAGGTACCTACAACAAAATAATCTAATAAACAATTTCGAAACTGACAGCACGGACAACTAAGTAAATGTAAAACAAGTTCAGACTGTTTGCGGTTCATAAATAAGAAGTATTATATAATAATAAGAAGGCAATAAAGTTGTAATTAATCTGTAGAGAAAGAATAAAAAATGTTTAATGCAAGATAATCATTATGGAATGCCTTAATGACGCATAAATCACGGAGAGCGTCGATTATTAATTAACAAAAATCGAAACTTAAAAAAGTTCTCGCTACGCCCTCCTTCGTGTTGCCCAGTAAATACAGAGTAAATAAATAAATAGGAATGGTGCGCGTGTTTCCCGCCAAATTGGAGCAATTTGTGTCGGAAAGTCGCGAGCGGCAGCGGCGCGAAACATCGTCTCGGCTCGTTGGCCGCTCCGTTTGTTTTTCACTGAGTTTTTGTTGGGCACGGAGTTGTGCGAGACGCTTTTGAATATAATTCCTGCAATTATTTTAAATATCTTAGTCATTCACACATCATTTGAAGTAATAGAAAGAAAACAAAATGAATGATTAGAATTAAAGCCTGAAGTTTATTTGATATTTGAACAACCTTTTTTGTAACAATTTCTTGTATTTACGCGATTACACATTATAAATGAAACTAATTTTACGGATTTATCGCGTTTATTTTTAATTTTAATTCCCGACGTTTCGAAACCTTTACAGCGTTCATAGTCACGGGACAGACTGAGGTGTTAGACGTCTTATTGTCATAGTTAATCCGGGCTACGGTCAGTTTTTGAATTATTAATTTTGTATCCGATCTATGCAGAGTGAGCTAATTGTATCTTTTCTTGCAGTAGTGGTTCGTTTGGGCCTAGATTTAATTTTATTGATGACAGGATCCCAAGCTGATGGTAGTACCCAACCCTCTTCTCTATTGAAATTAGGGTGTTTTTTAATTTCAATAGCCTCGCGAATCATCCTTGGGAGGAATCGGTGTTCTTTTGCAAGGATCTGTGGTCTATCAAACCTGGTGTAGTGGTTGGGCCTATATGTGAGCACACTTTAAATAGGCCCAACCTTACATTAAAACATTGTTAACTAATAGATATCCTCCCAAACATACTTTTTATTTTACGCATTTTAATTTATATCGTAGACAAATGAAATGAATTTTCTTTTAAATCTAATGAATATTAAAAGTCTTTAAAAACGCACGGCTTAATGTAAGTTGCCCCTTTCGACCAAAATATAACTTAAAGACGAGTTCAATGGAAACTGACATTACATTAAATTTGTCTGATTTGATTCGCAATAGAGTGGCGTGTAGCAACTCTACATCTCTATTGGTTGACCCTGATTCATTAACAACCCAGTTTCCTGTTTCATAATGCTCTATTCTCCAACAATAATGCCCGATCAAGAAAAGAAACTGTTAGAAGGGATCGGCTAATTAAATCTTCTAGCGATATGCCAATGAATAAATATATACTCCGTAGCTGTATAAAAATAGCAAATGAATAAGAAATAAACCAGATGAAACCTTAAAAAAGTCTCCATCCTCCCTTTAGAAGCCCGGCATCGCCATTAAATAAACATTTGATTGTTAATGAAAAACAAAACTGATTTGAAGCACGTAGTGATTCCATGTGGTGTTAGTAAACATATTTTATTAAAAATAATTGCTAAATATAAGACATTTGTCATGTATAAAATGAACTTAAATTGGTTTACTAATATTTGCACACTCTGTAATGACTAGATTATAGCGATATAAATAGAAATAGACATTCTATCATGTAATTGTTGCATAAAATATTATTATTATTATTACAGATCAAATAGACTATAATAAAATAATAACTAAAATAATTGTGATTTTAACATTTCCCAAACAAATGCCATAGCAATAATGAAGTTAGCATTACTCAGATTTCTTTTTTTATTAAATCGTGGCCGCAAATGGTTAGCGATTGTCACCACTCATTGTCATCTAAATTATAAACGACATAATTATCGGGGTTGTACATTTTACAGGTTACTAACTTGTCATTTAGTCGGCCTGCCGAAGCATCCAACATCGGAGGCTACAGCATAGACCTACCAAGACAGAAAGTACATTACGAAATCCTAAAATGACAAATTAATATATAGACTAAACAATATAAGACAACAGATTAATATAGAATAAAATTATTACAGTCATATATGTCGCATAAAAGTTGTATTAAGAGAACAATAACATCAAAACAGGGGGGAAACATCGCCCGTCGAGCGGAGCTGGTGTTGCCTCCTCTATAATCCTTTATTGTGAGGTGAACTCGACAGAGGGCGCGCAGCAGGCGACATGTGCCGCTTGCTTAAACCTCAATTATTTGGTAAAACGATTGTAAAGAATTGTACTGTGCAGATTTTTTATCTGTGCTGATATATTTCTACTATTTTTGTAATTAAACATTTTATTTTGGCTTAAAGATCTTGTTACCAGGGCATAAAATCTTTATTAAAAAAACATTTTACTATTAACTATTACAACATTTTACTAAACATTTTTTTATTTTATCTTTATACCTTACATTTTATTTGTAGTCTTAGTTATATTTTTAATAAGTAGATTTTATACAAGTTAGTACTGTACTTTATTCAAGGCACCGTATTAATTTTAGATAAATATTCTGGTGTCTGTGATTTTTTTTTTTTACTTATTATTCTTCTTTATTACAACGATGTTTTCAACATCGTTGTTCGCTTTCTCATGACAAAAGAACTGAAGGGCGGTCTCTATAAATGCCTCCGTTTTAGCGAAGATTTTTTAACTTGGGAGATTATTCAGGTACTAGTAATTACTATTCCACACTAATTGAAACTTGGATATATTACGTCACAGATTAAAAGAAAAAGCAAACAACTTTATTTATGACACGTAAAAAAATCTTTGTTCACATGCAGACTTAATGCCGAAGGCATTTTCTCCCAAAATCTATCTTTCGCTTAATCTTCACTAAATCGTTTGTTGTAAAAACAATCTAGAAACTGACACAAGGGTTTCGTTGTGTTAGTTTCATAACGAGAAAAACCTGATCTAATGAAGACGATAGATCACAAATCATAAAGTTGCAATTTTATTGACAGAATGAATATAAATAATATGATTGCGAACTGGGATTTCGAATTTCGGAAGTTAGTAGTGGCGGCAAAAATTTTACAGCCTGTTGGTGGCAAATTTGTAAATCCGCCACTGCTCACATTGATAAGAGTGAAATGTTTCTGGCGATAACATTTTGAGT